AATATGAAATTGAACATTTTATTTAAACTTGGTTTGGAGAAATTATTACAGAACAAAATCAGACTGTAACCTAATTGCATCTAAATTCTGGAAAAAGTGTAATTCTTAAAAAAGTGTAGAAAAAATTATCCAAGAACGTTTTTTTGTATTTTGAAGGAAATCATTCATACTGTCAAATTTATTGTTTTGAAGAAATGATGTCCAATGTGGGCTTCAAATTTGATGATTTTTACTTTCTCGCTACTGCTTATGCTGTATAGAAAAAGGCACGGGTATATATGACAGAAATACTTTTATGCTGGGCCTTGGTAATGAAAAATTGGATAAATCTACTTCCTTCATATTGTAAATTACTTCCTCTAACATGCTGTGTAGTCAGAGCCATGTTGTCTGGGTCCTTGATATCAAAAAAGTGATTGTCAGCAAAATGTCTGTCTCTTTGTGGTCAACACTTCCGTGTAAACTGTTTAGCCAAATATTTACTAGGCTGTCCGTGTGACGCCGCGCCCATGGCGAAGGTGCCGACGTTTCGGTCGCCATTCTGCGACCTTCCTCAGGGCTTAATGCGGCATTCTGCGACCTTCCTCAGGGCATAATGTGGCATTACGCCCTGAGGAAGGTCGCATAATCGGCACCTTAGCCATGGACGCGACGTCACCCGGACAGCCTAGTGAATACTGACTCCGGCCGCGGAAGCATACGCTCTCTGTTTGGCCAATTTTCTACAAAATTGATATTCCTTGATTGACTTAAAGAACTCAAGGGCAAGTGTGCTTGAAACAGATATTTTGATTTTGGAGTATTTTAAATGAAACCTCAACAAATGTTTGATTAATTTTGCCCTTGGAAAGCCTAAGACACCGAAGAGGATTTTTTTAATCGAAATCCCCTATTATTTGATAATTGAAAAAGCACAAAATGTTTGACGTAGGTCTCATTTTTGTTGAACACTTTGAATTTTTAAAAATTATGTTGGAAATAACAGGAGAAACAAATATTAAAAATATTTTTAAGTGTCCATTCAAGTGAGTACATCACAGTGACTGTGATGAATGTGTGTGCTGTTGTATCACTAGTTAAATAATTATTTTAAAAGTGAAAATAGTTTTACCGAGGAACCCAACTTCCAGTATTTCTGGCATCCATGGTACAGGGAACCTTCCAAAAAACCTAATGGATTGTTAAAAAAGGTCTTGTGTGTGGATTGTGGCATAAAAATAATCATAACTCTTGCCCCCTTAAGGGTGATATGGCTTTAAGGCCCTAAGATGCAGTTTCAGAGTTATACATGATGGTAGGTTACTACCTTATTTTCCAAATATGTCATTATAGGCAAACTTCTAAATTTTTCATCTTTAGTTTCTGATGCAGGACCATGGAGTAATTCTCAATCCAGCAGTAATACACTTTAAGAGGTTTTCTCACGGTTTCTTACAGAATATTTCCTTAGTGTGTTATATACAGAGTGAAGGGTGAAAGGATTAAAAAGAAAATTATTAAAGTAACCCTTACTAATTATGAGACAGTATGAGGCGTTGTAGCATTCACTAGTTTCTCTCTTTTCTCTAGAATATTGTAACGTGTAAATAAAACCAT